AGAAATTTTATCTCTGCTTCTCTTCCTGAGGTGACATGTATCCAGTCAATATGGGGGTAATTAAAATCCCCCATTATTATAGAGTTCTCTATAAAGAACTCTATATTATAGAGTTGACTCTGCTTACACGTGTTGAACCTTGACTTCAGTACTTGTTTCAAGTTAACATTATGCGATTGCACCATAGCCACCTTAGGCTTTACTTCACGCAAGAAAAATGGATATAAAATGAGATGAGTGAACTTCCAACAAAAACACTAAGCACTATCAAACTACAGAAAAGAGGGAAGGCCATGAATAAGTGAAAAATAAATGTGGCTGTCAGTAAAAAAAAATTCTCCAGATACAAATGGCTGTGGTGCCAATCAGCTGAAGTACAGTGCCATGATATGGAGTGGGATCACCAACCCCCGTGAGGAGTTATGAGCCAAGGAGCAGTGCTGGAGCAGTGAACCTGTCCCTAAAATGGTGCTCAGACCTTGAGGAATACTGGTCCCACACATACTGTCTGTAACAGAGGGAGTGTGCCTCTGAAGATCCACGCCGAAGTCCCAAGAGTCCCACCTGCTGCAATCAGTGGTCCTCGGTCCCACCAAGGATTGGGCTGGGCTGCAAGCTCTACAGTTCTCAGCATGCAAAGGTGAAACCTTTAACATTCCGGTGGGTGGGGAATGGTGCAGAGACCCGGGCAGTGCTACAGACTGCTTCCTCTTGTGGTACGGTCCTGCAACTACAGGAGTGGACAGTACTGGCATGGACAAGATGTCCTGGGCTGCCTGCAAGGCCTTGTCATGACGGCATCTGGAGCTGTTCAACCCCACTCTGGGAGCAGGGCACCCTTGCTCCAATGAGGCTTGTTGAGCCATGGCAGGAGAGTCCACAGTGTTGACATTCTGGGCATGTCCTCCGTAAGTCCAAGAGATTTGCCCTTGCCTTGTCTTGAGGCTTGGAGGGAGCCAATGAGCAGCGCTGCGGTGCCAGAGTGATACAGGACCAGGTGCTGGTGCTGGGTGCCAAATCCAAAGGTTTGCATACCAGAGCCAAGGCGGATTCCACCAGGAGAGCCTTGAGACGAATGTCCCTCTCCTCCTTGATACAAGGCTTGAAAGTCTTACAAGTGTAGCACTTACCACTTCTGAGGGCCTCTCCTATGCCCCAAAAACATCCGCAGTAGGGGTCACTCACTGGCATGGGCTGATTATAACTATGACACGACTTGAAGCCCAGGGAATGGGGCCTGCGCCAGCCCAAGACTTAAGTCCCTACACTAACTAACTACTATAACAGTAAAACTGATTAACAGCAGAAGCTATTTACAGAGGAAAAAAATCCAACTAGGGAAATGCGCAACAGCTAACCAAGACCAGCAGATTCCAAGCACTGTCACTGGCAGCAAGAAGGAACTGAGGATGAAGAGGCACCCTATATAGCGTGGTATGTATACACCACTCAGGGGATGGCTGAGCCAGCTCCCCTACAGATACTGATAAGGGAAAATCTTCCGGCACTGGTGCACATGGCAAGCACATACACCTATATTGAATGGACATGAGCAATCACTTTAAGAACCACCAAACTCTACAGTGTTGCAAATAGTATTTTTCACGTCCACAGAGATAAAAATTAATAATTCAGTTAGCATCAAATGATTTAGAATTCAAGTTCTTTTATTCCAATCACCAAATGAACAGAAAACAACCAACAAGTATCTCTGATTTTTAAAAGTTCTTTGTTTTACCATCTGGTCTAGAAAATTTGCAATCACTTGCGACTGGAAGAGATTCAAAAAACAGCTCCCATAGGTGAAATCCCAGTATATTCAGAGAGTTAAATAATTCATAGCACTAACAACTGTGACAATGTTATGTCTTTTAGTTTTAGTGAATAAACCATCACATTCTGTCAACTGCTTCTATCCTTCTTTAAAAACTTCATCTCTAATTATATATTTTACTTCAGGACATTGAAAAGACTAGTGTATACCAATCTGTATAGTCTGATATGACTGAAATGAAAAAAAAAAAAACACTTTTTAATTATGTTGGCCTAACAAAATCTTATTTGAGAATTTTCTTTTTAATATTAATTTTGAAACCTCTCAAATATTAGATAATAAATTAATGTGGTCACTAAGGATGTAAGAGTGTAGCCATGTAAACGAGTAACCGAGCGTATTGGTTACCCAAACTGCTAAACAGCTACACACCACTCTTGGTCCAGCTTCCAGGGAGCCACCTGCCACCCCGTGCTGCTGCCTCTGTATTGGGGGGAGGGGAGGGGCAAGCAGAAGCTGGTATACGTGTGGAGCTGGATTAAAAGCTGGCCACCGTGTGCACTTGCTCCTAGCGAGCCACTGGCCACCCTGCCTAGCTGCCTTTGATACAGAGGTAACAGAGTGGGGTGGCAAGTGGGCACTGGTACACATGGGGAGCCAGGCTTCTGGGGAGCTGACTGACACCCTTCATGTGATGGTGTAATCGGTGAAATTTTCAGTGGATACACGGTTAATCGTTTACATGAATTTTAACATCCCTAATTGTCAGTGTTAGTCAAAATAGTTTGAATAAATTGTGAAAAACTACAGCTTATGTGATGACACCAAAACTTGATACTTTCAGTATCTATCAAAATTCCATGATTTATTGGCATTGGTACATATCACTAAAACCTTTATCACCCCCAGGGCACAATATGCGCTGAAGATTAACTATCTAAGCTAACAAAAATTCTGCAAAAATACAAGCATTTCTTTGACAGGTAATAGATTCCACACATGATAATGTCCTGATTGTGTTTGAAATTTTTTTCAGGGGAGGAGGAGGAGGAGGAGAGAGGAAGAAAGATGAAGAATGGCCATAAAAAACTGTATACAGTAAGACTCCAGTGGTCTGGCATCCAATGGTCCGGCACTCCTGATGGTCTGGCACCATCTGGAAACCGGAAGTGCTCCGGGCAGCCAGACAATTGGAGCTGCTCTGCCCCAGGCGTCCCCAAGTCAGCCGCTGCTGAAACTGACCAGTGGCTGACTCGGGGAAGCCGGAGGCAGAGCAGCTGGGGTGCTGCTGGGTTAGTCCCGCAGCGCCGAGGGGCGGCACTAGGGGACCAACCTGGCAGCACCCCAGCTGCTCTGCCCCAGGCGTCCCCAAGTCAGCCGCTGCTGAAACTGACCAGTGGCTGACTCGGGGAAGCCGGAGGCAGAGCAGCTGGGGTGCTGCTGGGTTAGTCCCGCAGCGCCGAGGGGCGGCACTAGGGGACCAACCTGGCAGCACCAAAGGGCACATCCCCGCCACTCCACCCCAGACCCCTCATAGCCCTCCTTCCTATAGTCCAGCATATCTGATAATCCGGCACCCCCTGGGTCCTAAAGGTGCCAGATTATCGGAAATTTAATGTAGTACTTTGAACTACTATCAAGGAACTTTAATAACAAATGCAAACAGGAATAATATATTATAACTATATCAGTTGATATTACATCACCACAAAATATTCATACTGACTATAAAACTGTTTTTTTCCCCTAAAGGCAAGTATTGAAACCCATATTGTTAATATATATTGAGGCTTAAGACAAATACTGAAAGTTCAGGTGAAGCAATCAGAATCCTTAAAATGATGCTGCCTAGATAAACAGGCCACAAAACACGTCAGAAAACGGCTTCTCCCCATGTGCAATCACTCGTTTATGCTCACATTGCTGTACATTATAGTGGACTGTCAGGTCTACCATAATTAAGACATTTTCTGTTTAAAGCTTCATGCTTCTACATGATTAAAATCCTTACAAATATTCAGAATGACCTGAAATTCCTTATGGTTCATGGGGCACTGCTGAGTTTTAGTGAGCAAAATTTGAGGCTATTTGATGAAGGTACCCATGAGATTTCAGTCTCCTAAAAATAGTTTTTCCTAAAATTGATATCCTACCAAAATATTTTTGCCCAGACCTAGGGAAATTACAGTTTTGATCCTGATGTAAGGGTCACACTTGCATGGCACCCACCAATTCAGCAGAAGAGTCTGCTTCCCCAGTTAGACTCACACCTAAGTCTAACATACCAAATGAATGAAACTGAGCATGTGCAGCATGTGAGAAACAAAGTCAATCAAAAACTGGCTATGACTCACATGACCTGTGTAGCTCTGGATAACCATTGTGGTTATCAAAGTTAAGCACCACCCAGACTCTGAGAATTAAGGGGGGGGAAAAAAATCAAGGAAATCCTTGAATCATAGAAAGAAATCTGAAAGAGGCATATTGCTACAATCTGCTTCAGTCAAATAGCTTTCCATTTCATTTATTTATCTTTGGGAAATGTAATCTGAGCACAACAGAAACTTCAGATGGCACTCAAACTGTTTTTGAAAAGAAAATGAATTGCAAATGCTTGGGGCAGGGGAGAGGGAATTAGGGAGGAATAAAGTGAGGGCAGTAAACAGAGAGATTGGGGGCTGCAGCAAAGGGAGGGCAATAAATGGGGAAGGGATAGAGATTGGGGGTTCAGATGAGGGGAGAAAGAAGAAAGGTGTGCAGTGAGTCTGAGCTCTCCCTCCCTGAACTGCTCACATGGACTTCAGTGTAGGGAGGCTCACCCCTGTGGAGGTGTCTGAGCTCCCATGTGTGTGCTGTAGCTAGTAAAGATGTCCCTCCTGGGCCCTCTCTGTAGATGGGTACGGTCCTCCAGCTCCTCATGCATACATGGAGAGGGCTGCCCCCCCATATGTACACCAGTAGCTGGAGGAACCTACTTATCTACAGGGTCCTAAGCGCCTCTTCCCCACGCATGGAAAATGAGATCTGGGGATCCTTGTCATTAGGTGGATCTAAGCCCCTCTTCTGGCCTCATCTTTACCGGGATCTAGGGAAGCCTTGACCCTCAGGGTGTGAAGCTGAGCACAGGAATGCTGGGAGCATGGTCAGAGAACACACTGCTGACAGGGAGATGAAGATAGGCATGCCTGATGCTCTCCAGCACTGGAGAGCGGGAACACCTACTGACCTGAATGGAGCAGATCTCTCACACACCACAGAGTCTCATTGGAGTAGCCACGTTAGTCTGTATCTGTAAACACAACAGAGAGTCCTGTGGCACCTCACGGACAAACACATTTATTAGGGCATAAGTGTACAATACCAGTCCCACAAAGGTATTGTTTCAGACGTGCACTCATTTTCACTGGGCATTCTCATTCAGCTGAACATCATATTGAGATGAACAGGCCACTCCCAACACTCTGAACTAGGGATGTAAGCAAGTTATCGACTACCCGATAAGCCTAGGCAGCAAGGAGTGGCAGGAGCTTAAAAGCCAGTTCCCCCCAGCACCGTCTCCGTGGTGCCCATTGATACTCACCCTTGCTGCTGCCTCTATCAGAGGCTGTGTGGAGGCAGGGGAGGATGCCACAAAGCAGTCTCTCCCCACTGGGACACTCTGCGGACAGGGGCTGCTGCCAGCTGGGCAGGCAGCCCAGCTCAGTCCTAGCTCGCGCTGGGTCCAGAACCAAACCCCACTGTGGCTCTGCAATCTAAAACACAGTAGGAGCCAGGGGGCAGGCTACCTTACTCCTACTGCCTTTTAAATTACAGAGCTGCAGTGGGATTTGGTCCCAGCGCAAGCCAGGACTGAGCCACCTGCCTTCCCCTATCAACTAATCGAGTAGTCAATAAAAATTCTATTGAGTACTCGATTAGTAAATTAACCTAATTTTAACATCCCTACTCTGAACTAGGTGCAGGTGGCTGGGGAAGGACACTGGGCAATCACATAGCAACAGCGCAATCTAGTGCACAGAACAACGGACAGGCCTCGAAAACTTTGTGCTCTATTGCTGACTCTGCCACTTGCCTTAGGGCTGACTCTGGTCAAACAGCTTAGCCAGTTTTTGCCTCAATGTCTTCATCTGCAGAGTGGGGATAATGATGTTTTTCTCCTTAGAGCACTTTGTATCAGCAGATCTCATCATCATTACCTCTCCATAGTAGCACATGAACTGCACATCTACATGGTAATTACAACTGCCTAAATGACCATTAACTCCCAAGAACATTTTGCTCAGCAACAAATTAGGAAATTTCATAGAAAAAAAGTTTAACTCAGAATTAAGGTTACTTGGTGGTTCCACATGGCCTTCCAAACAGGGAAGTACAGCAAAATAAACTTGTAAACACTAGGTAATACAGAGTTAAAGCATATGCCCATGAAACTTTATCTCTACTGTCTTTGAGCAATGCCTCAATATGCATATATAAATATGTCTGAGTCAGAACTACAACAATGGCTGCCCGTCGCAGGGAGCCATAGCCTGTAATACCTCTAAGGCTGGTATAGGGGGCTCTGTCTGTGAGGTGGAGTGTTTTCCATATAAGGGCATGTAAATTAATAATCTTCCCCTGCTCGCTCCACCCATTGCAGTGAAAGATCAGCCAATGGGCTGACTTGTGCTCAGGCCTGCTACTCCACCCACTGCAGCAAAAACCAACCTATGGGGTGATAAGTTCACAGGCAATAAAACAGGCAGGCAGCCCCTCTCTCACTGGGGATTCGCATCGAGAGAACGCCTGGCCTGATCACCCAGACGCCTTGCACCCCCCGCTCTTGAGTCTTACTGAGCGTACTCCGAGTTGGTCGACCCGAGTGGAGACAGTTTATGAGCGTGTGACCGGTACTTGTGTTCCTGCTGTCTCCAGAACTGGTATAACCCTCCACCCCCGCCATCATCCCTATCCTAATTGATTTTTTAGTTGTCCTTATTGCTTGTCAAGTGACAGTGGCTAAAAAGTTACTAAGTTAGTTTATAAATAGTTGTGGTTTAGGTTTTTTACTGTTTCCTTGTATAAAGTTGTGTAAATAATCAGCCCTATGGACAATACCAGTGTTAATTCAACTGTTCCTAACCCCTGGGCAGTTATTGGGAATTATTGTGATTTAGAAAAGCCTCAGGGAATTGTTTTGTATTGTCTGGCAATCTGTTCAATTTTTGTTCTGATGATTGTCTGGCGCCATCAAAATAAAATCAGTTTGTGCTTTTTAAAACCCCCAGTTGTGGTCTCATCCTTTCCGGCATCCCTTCGAACCTCGTGTATTACGGGGACTGACAAAATATACTCTCACTCTTTTGACTTTGCACTGTATTTAATGAGAGCTACCTACTCCTGCTCTACACTCAAATACCTAGCCTATGCCACATCAAGAATACATCTGCTAAATTTTATAGTCCATTCACCTTTATGCATATGATGTGATTTAACAATGTACTCACTCAACCTTCATTAGCCTCAAACCACACATCTCCCACGATGGTGTGGTCACAGCACCAGCACTGAGAGAGAGCTCTCTCTCCCAGAGCTCTAAGTAAACCACCTCTGCAAGGCGAAAAGCTATGGTGGTCATGTTTTCTGAATCAAAATTAGGGACACATTAGCCATGCCCCTGGCCGCCATTAGCCACACACCCTGCCACAAGAAGTCCCACCCCTAGAGGTAGTACTCCTGGGATCAAGAAGTAAAAGGTGATGTGTGACCCCTCTAAGTCATTCTCCCACCATCTCCCTATCAATAGGGACAGGTTTGGCTCCCACAAGACCACCTCCCCCCATGCAACTATCCAATTTGCATTGAATTAACTCTGAGGGGAAAGGCGGGGGAGGAAGTGTTTCCTTTAAGATTTTTCCTCCCATAAGCAGAGTGAATTTTGTCTTGTGCACCAGTATTGAGTTCATGTGCATTTGTCTGGATGTGTGCCACTGTGGCACCGAAGTTATCAATAAATACCTTATAAAACTCTCCCTTTTCCCTCTGCTGCCATGTCTGCCACCATCCCCTCAGCCCATCTGCTCCCCTGATGCTTGCTGCTGCTCCCTACCCCTCACCCTCCTCTGCTGTCCTGGGTCCTGCCCTCCTCACTCCCCCTCAGCCTGCACCAGTCCTTCTCTTCCCCATATCCACTCCTCCTCTATCCCCACTATGATCTCTAGCTACCCCTCCCCATTCCCTCTCCTAACACCTCCCTCTATCCACCTGCCCTGCCTCTCTCCTCTGGTGCCCATCCTTCCCCTCCATGTGTCTGTACTTCTGCTTCTCCCCCCTACCTACACACCCACACACACAACCTTTGTACCTGCACCATCTCTTACCCTAGCACTTTCCTGGTGCCTCCCCCTCTGATGTCTAGGTCACGTAGGCCATGTCTATACGTATTGGCAGGTCGAGAATCCAGAGGTCAATCTTCTGGCACAGTGTGTGGCAGGTCTAGTACAGACCCATAAATCAAATGCTGAGGGCAGCTCCAGCCACTGTCTGTACTCTTCACAGTCATGAGGACTAGGGGAAGCCGACGAGAGCAAACGTGTGGATGGTGTGGAAACATGATTTAAGATACGTCATCTCCAGTTACGTAATTAACATATCTTAATTTGAGCTTCTGCTATAGTATAGACCAGGCCCTAGAGATTGTAGCATGCCTTATTTCAAGGAGAAAATATACTTGAAAAGCTGCAATGTATATATATTTGTATGTCTTATACACAAAGCTATCGTGATGCCTAGAGTCAAAGTTCCCTAACATCTCTCACTATAAACTTCTCTGATCTTAATTCTTTATATTTTTTTTTTTACAAACTTCCTGTAGTGCTGCATTTTCCTACTCAATCGCAGTTTCAGGTTGGGATTTCTTCAAAAGTTTGAGGAAAAAATAGATAAATAATTTCCAAGAGAAAGCAGTTTCAAAAACATTAAAAATGTATTTTTAATGAAACAAAAACAATCAGAACAAGAATCCAGGTTTGAAGATATGAAAAGAAGACGACGCTTAATATTTTAAAGCAACTACTGTACTATATTGTAATAGAAAAATGAGAGGAAGTGTGCCCAAGAGGTTAACTAAATAAGAAATGTTTCAAGCATAAAAGCTCAGTGAAGGAAATGCTAAGCTCTATGACAAACTAAAGGTAATTTACTAACAGAAGAGCATGAGAATGTTAAAAAATAAATGAATTCTTAGCTTCAGAGTTCATAAAAGAAAATGGAAAATAGAAGCCAGAAGCAAAATATAATTTCCCAGAGGAAGAAGAAGAAAAGTACTAAAGGAAATCAGTATCACATAAAAACAAGTGATCAAAACCCAGAATTGTCTGAAGATTGACAAGGACTCCATGGCTACGCAGGATCCACCTGAGACTTGCAAACACAATCTTTTCCAGAAGTGTGAAAGTATGTAGGAAAGAATAGAAGTACAAGTGACCTACAAATCAATCAAGGGTCTCATTTTGATACATAAATTAGATATTACAGTAATGAAAATAATAATTTCTTAGGAAGTTACTAGAGGAATTGAATGAAAAAGCTATACAATACAATATGTAATTTCATAAATGTTTGGTTGTGTAGCAGCTGAAGTACAGTCATAAAAAGGCCTAACCATGAGAAGATTTTTTAAAAATTTATATGTTCACACGTACATTTTTATAGGTGGTGCATACCGCAATACAGGTTGGACCTCCCTCGTCTGGCATCCTTGGGACCTGAAAGGTTCTGAAGGAGGAATTTTGCTGGACCGGGGAGGACATTCCTCGTCCCCCTGCCATGAGCCCCCCCAGTTTGGCTCTGCTCCTGGCTTGGCCTCTCAGCTGGCTCCTCACCTGCCACTAGCCCTGCTACAGCAGCCCATGGTCCTACCTCTGGAGCTCCCAGCTCTATCGTGGCAGACCACTGGCCTGCCAGCCCACAGTCCTGCTGTAATAGAAAAATTCCTATTTCCTATTTTAGTGATATTTTAAGCATGTAAGTTTTAATATGTTTTTAAATTATTTTGAAGTGGAAATAAATGTAGGGTTTATAGTTACTGTAGAAATTATTTAAAATTACTTTAGAAATAGATTTAGATTTTTATGGTTATTTTGTTTTTAGTTTTAAAGTAAATATTGTAATATAACATAGGCGAAAGAATGTAATGATTTGCTTTTTCTTGAAATTTTGTTTGTAACCCTTGTTCTTGTTTTTGTTATGTGAGAGAGATATGGGTGAAGGCCACCATTCAACCAGAGATACTGAAAGGAAGGATCCAAC